CTTCATCTGAAGACATTAATCCTCTCCAAACCACTTGAGTTAGACTCATTAAACACGGCGAAACACAAATATGTTGAAGATCAATGTGTTGTTTACCTTCTAACACCAAATATTCATCTGTCCCTGAACTGCAAGAGCAAGAGCACAGCTATCTAGAACGAAGCTTGAGGTAGAAGGTTCCTCCATATGATGTTGGTGATCACCATTGGACCCACGAGAGGCCTCTCCATGAGCTCTTTGGCAGGCTTATCTGTGACGAAAACTAGAGCAGCCATTGTGTCCACAATCAGATTCACCCACAGCAGCTGGAACGCTATTAATGGTACTTCATCGGCTGAGGTTGCTGCCACAAAGTTGATCACAATAATTGCAACATCTATTGTGAGCTGGAACTAAACAAACTTTTGGATGTTGGCAGAAACTTCTCTTCCCCATCTTAAAATGGTTACCAAAGTTGCAAATTTGTCATCTAAGATGACAAAGTCTGAGCTCTCATTGGCAACTTCAGTGCCCTGAATCCCCATCAAAACTCCGATGTCAACTTCTTTAAATGTGGGCACATCATTCTTACCAACAACTGTCACAGCAACCACATAGCCTTTCTGTTTCAAGCAATGCACCATCAGAAGCTTATCAAATGGTGAAGACCTCGCCATCACGTTAATTACATCAACTTTCTGCATTCTTTGCTCCGACATGTAGTTGCGAGATTCTACACCTTCTACCACTGCTTCCTTGGTTACTCCTGGTCAGGCCGGAGTATGCCACACTCGCTAGCTATTGATTTACAGATGAAAACATTGTCGCAAGCGATCAATTCCACCTACATCTCGGTAAACTGCCAAAGCTTCAACTGCTTCCCTCACTCCTGGCCTATATGGCTCTATGGATCCTTTAGGCCTACTAATCCTATTACTAATCCTAATAGGATCAAGCTGCTTTCTTCGAGCGTTCCGTACTTATTTCCGTCATTAATGTGCTTATCCTGAGCTTGTTTGTGTGCAAAGCAATGCATCGCAGACCGCTTGCTGCCATGCCTAATCTGCTCAAGCTTCAACCTTTCATCATCATTCAGAGCTTTTGTGACACGGACACACAGTAGTAACTCGAGCATATTTCTAGTATCATATATGCAGCTTCTTTCCAATGCACATGGGTAGCATTGTCCGCCTTCCTTCTCATCAAAACCCCGCTTCGTTTCTATGTGAATTGAAGGCTTCAACACGATGAATGACACGTTTCTTCTTCAATTCCTCCATGTGACCATGTGCAGTTCCAGAGTAGCCCATGAAAGAATGGCTTTCTCAGTAGGACCCAAAAACTCAAATCCTGATCCTTAACTAGGCCCATAAACGCTACCGGACATGTTAAATGCTACTCCTCGGATTAAATCAAGAAGATAATGACAATTTTATGAATAAGAAGCTGTTGTCTCATTGAATTTGCTACTCCACAGATTCTTGTCCAAGCCAAAAATTTGTAATCGTCATCTCATTGAACGTTAGTGAGCCAGTTTTGTTACGATGGCACATTCCATAGTCTCGCAAGCAAGGAGCCTCCGCACCAGATCCTGCTCCGCAATCATCCTCTTCCTTGAATAAGTGAGAGTCAAAGTGACAGCAAACGGGAAGCCTTTAAGAATTGCAATCACAACGACAATAACTGCAATTGCTACCATGTCCACCACAACATTCACCACATCATCAATCTTCGTCTTGCTGCCTTCAAACTTGCCAAATTCACTCTCGTTCTTCATGTTGCCCGTGAAGTAACGCGCTACCAGGACCTTGAAAACCGTGAATGCAACACCCAAGCCAATCTTTGCCTTTAACGGGGTTCGTTTACTTAACCGCTCTTGTAATGGCGTCTGCCTATCACTCGTGTCACAGCTGATCTAGCTCATCATTTGGCCCCATGTCGAATTCATGCCAACTGAAGCCAAAAGCATTTGTCCATATCCATCAACCACCTCGGTTCCGGAATACAAAGACGGGTTCTGGCCTCCATTAACTTCCACATGCTCGCTCTCCCCCATCATGCTTGATTCGTCCATGCGCAAGTATTATCCAACTCATTTGCATTTGAAGGAGAAATGCAATTATTATCCAAACTTTAAATGACACTTACTATTGCTCTAACGAGTATTATTTTATTTTTACTCTTTTTTGTTTTGTTGTAAAACTTTTATAAATTGAGCTTGAGCGTGCTTACTTGACATGAAATCGTGTGAATTTTCTTACTTTCTAAAAAATAGACAACAGTGACCGGATTTTCATTATCTTTTCAGTTACAAATGACAATTAGCCACCATTAAAAGTGACTATAGGCTTTAGTTACTATGAACTTTCTTTTTTTTTTTGGTAGTATAACAATATATTTTTACATTAAGGAGACGGAGAGTTCGACTAAGTCACAAATGGGTAACCTAATTTAATATTGAATTCGTAGTACTATGAACTATTAAGTATAAAATAAGCAAAGAATATTTTTATACTTTGAGAAAAGCTCAAAAAGAATGGGGTGTGCTATACACACACCATTTTTTACTTCTCACACACCCCTTGTTAATTTCTGTCCGATGATCTTCTTCAATTCATCTGATCCGACGGCTGAAAACTAAAAAGGTGTGGGAGAAGTAAAAAGAGGTGTGTGGATATCACACCTCAAAAGAATTAGCAACATTACATTATTGGGACTAAAGTTTTAATTACATTATCAACTAAAAACAGATGTTGAACACACTTGCATCCTAAAATTATATATTATATTATATCTCTACTAATTAATAAAACACTCATTGTCAACCAAAATCCTATGAAATTACCAGTTTAACCCTCTAATTAAAACAGAACATGAATAAGAAATATGGGGTATAAATGTAATTTCACACAACCAAATTTTACTTTTTTTTTTCAAAGTCTCACTTACATGTAATCCTAACATATCTCTAATTAAAAATAATAAATAATAAAATTTCTCACACACTTTGTGTGTGCCAATATGCTAGTATATACTAAAAGAGTAACTTTCGTTTTAATTCCCATTATGTCGTTTTAGGCTCAATTCACTGTTACTTCTACAGTGTATATCTGATTTTCCCCCCTCCTATTTGCTGTTATTTCAATTTTGCCAGTTTGCTTTGCCGTCAAATGGAGAACAAAATGGGATGCGTGGGTTTTCGCTGCTTCTTCCCTCTCTTTCCTCGACTCATTGTTCATCCTTTCCACCGCTTCAATCTTGCTCTCATGGTTTTATTCCCTTTTAATTTTCTTCTCTCATGGTTTTGTTGCTTCCTTTCCACCGCTTCAATCCTTCTCCAGCTGGTTGCAGACTCCATCAAACCCTAGAACGAGAAATCTTAAATCCACAACCCAAAACTCAGTCGTAGGTACCCAACGAAGGTAGATTAATTGAAGAAAGATTGCTCCATCAGAGCGGGCAAGATGGCTAGATGAGATAGCCATTCCATCATTAATCATTTGTATCAAACTCGTCATTTCATAAGACTCGAACCTCAGAACTCTATGAAAAAGAATAAAACTATACCATACCATTTTATTTATGTTTGATTACATTGGTTATTATTACTAATAGTTACGTTTTGTGCATATTGTAGTTTTCATTTTAACTTCCCTAAACTTTCTTCTACTTTCCCTTTCTTACAGGGTTTTATTTAAGACAAACTTATACATCCCAACGCAAAGGGAGAGAGGAGGCAAAGGCTAGCATTGTTGATAACGTAAGTGAGTTTGAAAATAGGATTTCTAATAGTTTGCTAGCTGTAAAGTTATTTCTTTGTTTCCCATAACGTTCAACTTTTTATATACACATTCACGCTTTCTCCATTTCTCTTTTCAACTACTAAAGCAAAGAGATATTGTATGTCTACCAAATTCAGAAAATCAATAATGTTTTATGATAGGATTTTTACCGCCTGCAAAAGTAGGGATAAAAACACTTAAAAATACTCGCAAGAATACAAGGTTGTCGTAGTATAACGGCTCAAGCAAGGTCGTTTTCCACAGAGATTGATTGAATCATTTGTATTTAAACTAATCCTTAGCTAACTATTTTAAACAAGGTTTTGAAAAATATTGATTTTGGAATTTTGAATAATAAAAACGAATTTAATAAAACAACTAAATAAATTGACAAAGAAAAACTAAAGAAAATAGTTTTGAAAATAAAGTTAAAAGCCTAGGATTCCGCCGTCCCCTTAACAATCCTATGTAGTTTTACCAATTACTTATGAATTACACATGCAACTTTGAAGGTTAGGTTTTCCTTATGCATATTCTCCTCATGATATTCAAGCAAGAACGTATATCTAACATGCAATCCGTCTGTGATATTCAGATCAAATATGAACATGCAAGACTCATTATGTTTTATGAAAACCTTTTGAAAAACCATGCAACCCCTAAGAGCGTGATATTCGCCTTAGGTGAAATTACAATTATTAACCACAAGAAGCAATACTCAATCCTTAGGTGATATTTTGACCGAATTGTATCCGATTACTTATCTAAACATCCTAATGGTAGCTAAGCATTAAGATATAGAGACAGTTCAAGCACAGTGATTAATAATTCAAAGTAAACATGCATAATACCATAAGCAATTGAATAAAGACTACATATTCACGCTAAGGCTCAAGGCTTCGCCCTAGCAAACGAAAATTAGTTACTAACAATCATACAACGAAATATTATTAAAAATAAGGATAGAAAACATCTTGAAAATAAACTTGAATCCAAAAACTAGTGTGAGTGCGTTTTCTCCCCCCAATGTTGCGTTTCTTTTTTCCAATGTTGCTAAACAGCCTTATTTATACTATTACAAAATAAAACCCTAAAAGGTCTTAGAATAAAACTAGGAAACATAATTAAATGATAAAATAGAAAATAAAAGGTTTCCTATTTGAACTAGAATTCGGAGTTCTCAGAAAATTAGTCTTTTGACCGACCAAATCAACTCCGATTTGATCCCAAAAGATCTCTTTTGAAAGCTGAAGACGTCCCCTACAAATCCTCAGAAGGAATCTTTCTCAAAATATGCCACATTGACCTCCAAAATACCCAAAACATTTAGAAACGTCAATTCGAGAAAGCTGCGCGCTGGGTCTTTATTTCATCGCCACGGTCAAACGGCTTGTTAGAAAAATCTGAAACTTTGACACAAAGACGGCAAGAGACACACGAACGTTCTCCAATTTGAATCACTCCAAAATTCGTCCATTTGATCATGTTTTGTTCCAGAGGAAGTCGAATGTCCTACATTAGAAATATATAACAAAGTATCAAAATTCTACCAAAATAACCAATACATTATAACTAAGATTAGGGTAAAATATATGGTAGAATATGGACTCATCATTTTACACAATTCTTTCAAACGGTTAGTTGTTGTGCTATATCAAATTAGTCGGAGAGTTGAAGATAGAAAATTTAATCGTGTTGTGTTCAATTTTCATTCTTTGACATTCTTATCCACTTTATTACTTCTTTTGATGTAATCTGAATTATTATTTTTTTCATCTTCATCAGACACTTCTCTTTAGAAAGAAGCATGTTTGGTATTCAATCCACCATTTAAATGGGAAAGAAGTTCCCAAATGGGAAAAAAGAAGTTCCCCCGTCACACGGTTAGAGCCGTAGAGGTAAATGATTCTTCTTTCTTGGATCAAGTTTACTATGAGCCGTAGAGGTAAATGATTCTTTTTTCTTGGATCAAGTTTTTGCTACTTTACCTTATGTCTGATGGCTTTTGTTGTTGTTTGTTTGCGTTAACTAATATTTTTGAATCCCTAGTAGTATTTTTATATTCTTTTGGAAAGAGATAATGTTATTTCATCCTGCGTTTTTTTCTCAATAAATCCATGCTTTGTTAATTGTTAGCTTTTCTTTGCTCACTAAAATAAGCCACCTTAATTAATTAAGGTCTCTTGCTGCTGTTTTTGTGATAATATTACCATCTTTATTTCATCTTTTTTTTTCATTACATTTTTTACTTCATGTCACTTTTTACAATTGGTCCTTACTTGACTGAGCCATAGTAAATTGTCCATAATTCACCTATATACACTCTCGATTTTGATGATTACTCAAATGAAATTTGTGATTAATTTTTATTGAATTGTTTTTATTTAATTTAATCTGTAATTTTTTTTTAAATATGCCGGGGGAGTTGATAGTCAAGAGGAGGGGATAAACACATATTAAGTTTTTGTATCTCAATCTGATCGTTTGATTTCAAATGCTGATTGTCGTTCTCTTTTCCTTTTCCTTTTGTTTATAAAGAATCAAACCATTTCAGTCGCTAACAGTGTGGATCAAGTTGTGGTAAAAAGGTCCTCCGCTTATATGATGATTTAATATATGAACAATTTAGATCTTCCGTTAATTGACATTTCAATTGAATTTTACTTTCATATAATTTGCTTTACATAATGTAAAAACTATTTTAATGGTTTCAATAGGATGATATAGAACAACTATATTTATTTTGATGATTTTTTTATTTTTTTGGCATCTCAAGAAATACTTTTCTCGAGCCTTGGACCAATAAGAAAGTGAAACACATACGTTCTAAATTACATGTTAGTTTTAATCCATTACTAAAAATCTTTTTTTTTTTTCTGGAAATAAACTTTATATTAAGATAAAGAGGACTGAACAATAACATGAAAAGCTGAGAATGAACAGTCGAATACCGAGTTGATTCCACCGCTACCACCCAACAAATCCAAGTGCTGAAATTTCAATTATTATTCTTTGGGGAGGTAAAGCTGCTATCTTTCTATACAATATGTTGGATTTTTTATTTGCAGTTTTTTTTTATTTTTTTATTTTCTCTCTGTTGGAAATATTGGTATTTCTGTTAGTTGTTGATGGGTAGCTTGAATTTTGTTCAAGTCGTAGTAATTTCCGTACAAGTTTACATTTTTGTGTGGAATTGGTGCAACTTTTGGTGTTTGTGTGGTGTTATTTTGATTGGTTGTTGGTTGAAAATTGGTTCCTTTGATTTTGTTATGTGTTGGTAGCCCCATTGGTAAAGAACAAATGGTTGATTTGCTGGGGAAATGTGAATCACTAGAACTAAAGACATGAGCCTCCGAGTGTTGTAATATATTGTACAAACATGTATCTTTTGTTTTTTATTGATCATAAAGATATAAATATGTTTTGATATAGAAGTAAATATATTTTAATATATTTTATACGTTTAACATGGTTTTAGACCCGCGGCATCCCGAGGGCTAAGTTGCTTGTACATGCTGTACATCAAAGTTTAAATTACATTATTTTAGTAAAATAAAAGAATGTAAGAAATAATTAAACAAAAATGCATATCAAACTGTGATTTACACGTACCGGCAGTGTCGCTACCGAATTGGTTCTTCAATCCTTCAAAATCAAAGGTACTTCAAATAGAGTTCTTCTTCGACTTCTTCATCTTGAGATAGCTGAAAATAGGAGTCTCAGGAACAGGAATCGACTTGACAATCCAACCAATTGGCCAAGAGACTGCTGCAATACCAACACAAGCACCCCATTGCCCCCAATTCAACCTTTCTGTATCTGCAAACTTCTTCAAAAACTCCACCATCACCACCTGCAGCAAAATTGTGACACCAATAATTCCCAAAAACAACTTGTTGGTGTGGATTCCTCTGAACACATTCTTCTTCTCGAGCTTCCTTGCATTGAACTCATTGAACACCTGGCACAGCACAAATGTGTTGAAGATCAGTGTGTCCTTCACCTTCTCCTCCACACCGAAGATCGATTTTCCTTTGAACTGCAATGTCAGGAGGATTGCAATCTGGTAGAGTGCTTGAGGCAGGAGGTTCCTCCACATTATATTGGTGATCAGAGGCTCCGTCCTCCCAACCGGTTTTTTCTTCATGAGCTCTTTTGTTGGCTTCTCTGTGGCGAGAGCCAGAGCACCTAGTGTGTCCATGATCAAATTCACCCACAGTAATTGAACAGCTGTTAACGGGACTTCACCAGCAGAAATTGCTGCTACAAAGTTGATCACCAGCGCTGCGACATTGACGGTGAGTTGGAATTGGATGAACTTCTGGATGTTTTCGTAAACACATCTTCCCCACCTTAAAACTGTGGCCACCGACGAAAAGTTGTCGTCCATGATCACGATATCCGAGCTCTCTTTCGCGACTTCTGTGCCTTGAATCCCCATGGAAAGTCCGATGTCAGCTTCTTTCAATGCAGGCGCATCGTTCGTGCCATCCCCTGTTACCGCCACCACATGGCCTAGCTGTTTCAAGCACTGCACCATGAGAAGCTTGTCAAAGGGGGAGGACCTTGCCATCACACAGATTTTGTCCACCTTCTCCATTCTTTCTTCGGCTGTGTAGTTGCGAAATTGCACGCCTTCTATCACTGCACTGCTGAAGAACATGTCCTGATCGGGCTTGAGTATCCCGCATTCTGTGGCTATTGCTTTTGCAGTGAACACATTGTCGCCTGTGATCATTTTAACATTCACCCCTGCACGTTGACAGTCTTCAACAGCTTTCTTCACCCCCGGCCGGCATGGATCTTTTAACCCAACAAGGCCTAATAGTGTCAATCCATCTTCTTTTAGCAAATTTTTATGTTCTTGATCATCCACTTGCTCTTGTACCTCAATTTCTGTGTGTGCAAAAGCAATGCATCTGAGGCTGCTCGCCGCCATACCTTGGATAATCTGCTCAAATTTCAATTTCGCGTTCTCATCCATATCTTTAACAACTCCGGATGCATTGTAGTAACTTGTGCACATTGCTAATACCATCTCTGCAGCTCCTTTCCAATGTGCTTGAACAGAATCGTCCACCTTCCGCTTCATCAAAACCCCGCTTCGTTTCTTCTGCGAATTGAAGGCCTCGACATAGAGAATGCTGCAACTCTTCACCACTTTCTGCATATCCATCTTCGCCCCATGCACTGCCCACGAAAGAATCGCCTTCTCAGTAGGACTCCCCGAGATTTCAATTTCCGAACCCGAATTAGGCCGGAACACACTCCCGGTTGTGTTCAGAGCAACCCCTTCATGAATCAAGTTACGAACAAAAGGTGATATGGACGAATACGCCTCTTCTTCCACAGGTTCCTCCCCTAGCCAAAACTTGGTCACCTTCATTTCATTCATGGTGAGAGTGCCTGTTTTATCGGTACAAATGACGGTGGCAGACCCCATCGTCTCACAAGCAGAAAGCTTCCTTACCATCGCCTTATCTACCATCATTCTCTTCATCGAATACGCAAGCGTTAGAGTCACAGCCAGAGGCAGGCCTTCCGGAATTGCCACCACAACAATTGTAACCGCAGCAGCAACAATCCCTACAACCGCGTTTAATATGTCGTCAACTTTAGTCTTGCTGCCATTATACTCCCGGTTTCCATTCTCGTCCTCTGTATTTCCAGTGAAGTACCTAACCATCAAGACAATCAGGACTAAAAGTGCAACTACCAAACCGACTTTACCAATCGATGACGTTAGCTTGTTGAGCCGAGCTTGCAGAGGCGTCTCTTCACCATTGTCGCGGCTGATTTGGCTCATCATTTCGCCCCATGTCGTGTTCATTCCAACAGAGGTGACAAGCATCCGAGCGTAGCCATCAGCCACTTTTGTGCCGGAAAACAAGAAAGGATTCTGGTGGTGACTAATTTCGACATGATCACTCTCCCCTGTCATGCTCGATTCGTCTACTTGTAACGAATGGCCGTCTAGAAACAATCCATCAGCCGGAACTTGGTCTCCGATCTTTAAACAAATGACATCACCAACTACAATTTCGAATATCGAAATCTGTTGGCGCCTGCCGCCTCTCACGGCTTCGATTTGGACATTGTCGCTGACTTTAGACAACTTATCAAACTGTCTGTTTTGTCTAAAATTACTCACAGCAGAAACAGAAATTACCAGAATGATTGCAAGAAATATGCTTCCGCCATCGATCCATCCATCTTTTAGACCGTGCACTTTGATTCCCAAGCCAAGAGAAAGCGTAGCGCAGCCTAAGAGGATGAGAATTGTGAGGTCTTTGAAGGCCTCCCACACAAAGTGGAAGAACCCTTTTGTTGGTGGCTTCTTGTACGTGTTCGAGCCGAATGCTTTGAGTCTTTTCGCAATGTCGTCTTCTGGATCATCGCCGCCATGGACTCCGTGCTCTGCGTCAGTTTTGAGATCGGTGGCAATTTCTTCAACCCCTCCTAGCTCCTGAAGCTGGTTGAGATTTTTCTGCTTGACAAGGTTAGTGAGGGTAGTTTGATCAATTTGGAATAAGCTATATGATGGCTCAACAGTAATGGCGGTATGAGAAGGAGATGGAGATAATTTGGTGTTTTTATATTTTGGTAGTGAAAGGTTGAAGGCTCTAGAGCAGTAGATTGTGGCAAAAGCAGAACGCCATTTTCTTTGGTGTTTGCTAAGAGTGATTTTTGAAACATCAAAAAGCAGCTCGATTTCAATGCAAGCCAACTTTGCATGCAAGGCGGTAGACATGCTTAAATGAAAAATGCTTCCAAGTTTAGAAATCGCAATGAAGGTGGCAGCCGCAGTGAGGGATGATGATAGCTACGGCCAAATTTAAACAACTATCAACCGGAATACTATCACGGATTCCCAATAGAGGTGGAGAAAAAGCTTCGGAGATGAACGAAGTATATCTCAAATGGCAAACAAATAAATGGAAGCAATTGTTGTTCCTCATAAGTTTGCGTGAGTATCTACTTATAGTTCATTGGTGACGTGATGTTAAAGACGGCATAACGTTTCCCGCGTTTAAGTATTAATTCTTTTCGAATTCACAGCGAATGCCTAACATCATGGTGGTAGCTTTCCGGAAACCAAGCAGAAGCAGCAGAGGGCATCGCGGCACAAGTTCGTACGTTCATATAGTATAAAAAAGAAGACGAACCGCCATGGTGAAAACAATGTTATCTCCCGGAAGGTGCTTTTTCTGAACTATTCACACGTAACTTCATTATTAATCGTCGTAGGTGGGATAAATGATTCTACATAGTGGACGCGTTATAATTGGGATTAAGGAAAGGATGGAACATATTCGTCATAGGTAAAAAAATCTTTTTTATAAAGTAAAGACATTTTTTTCGACAAGTGTTCTTAATGGACGATCTGTAAAACAAAAAACAGGCCTAACACTTCATCTGTAAGTCAAAGAGGTTGTGTTGTTTTTAGCCTGTGATGGGATAGCCTCCCTCCTCTCCAAACTTTTTTTTGACTAAAAAACAAAAAAGGACTTTCTTAGCGTACTTTAGGGAAAATAAAAAAATAAAAAATTTCAGATTAAACTCTTCGACTATTTGATACTAGCATAGAGCACATACTTTGTGTGTGTGAATAATTTCTCTTAATAAGTGCTTTTTTTTTTAATATTACATAATTACTATTTTGTCTTCCTTATATAAATATTGTGTATCAAAAGTAAGGGTAAAATTGCAAAAATAAGTATATGATTGTCATTTTCTCAAAAAAAAAAAAAGGGTAAAATAAGAAAAATAGGGATATGATTGTCATTTTGTCCAAAGGTACAAAATTAGTATTTTGCCCTCATTTTGTCAATAGTGTGTATCAAAAGTGAGGGCAAAATAGGAAAAAAGGGAAAAAAATTTACAAGGAGGGTTCTCTTAATAGTATAGATAGATAAGTTTTTTTTATGACCGTATTACCCTTGCTATTAATTTTGACTCTCTCTAAATTTTGCTCTAATTTAAGAATTTTTCATGACATTTGTAACATAATATTATTTGTTTATGCGTATTTTACTTCGTTTTGTGACATAGTATTATATTTTTTATGAAGTTTTTTTATATTTTTTATGAAGCTTTTCACGATTTCGTAGTTAAATAACTACTAAAAGTAGACAAATATATTCAATTTTTTGTATCCTTGTCATAGGTAGATAATAATGCTAAATATATTTTTTTTAATTAACGAGTATGAAATGAGGACGCGGAATTTAAGTTGACGAGGTGAACAAAAGTCAAAGTTCATATATAAAAATGTTGTGCAAATGGCTTGGTTAGAACGTATGAACTTTTATGGAGGGGAAATCACCATAACATTACAAGCAAAGACTCAGAGCATTATCTGTTCTAAAGTTGAGAAGGGATTGACTATAGCTTAGCTACAGTCAAATTATTGTCTCTTAGATTTGATTAAGGGCATAAATTAATCTCAGGCGCATTCCTCATCTCACTTATTCTTAACTTTTTATTTTTTTTCATAATTTCTCACAATATTCAAATAAGTATAGGCATGATATGAATTTATTTGCTACTCATCTCCTCCAACACACAACCTAGAAGTAACCAATGGCGAAAGCAGTGGCGGAGTCAGGATTTCTTGTGAGCAGGTGCCTCACACAAGTATAGAAGAAGAAAAAAAAACATATACTATTTATAAAATTACTGAACAAAACATCATAATATATATCCAAATATTTACATATGTGTAGATAGTTTTATCTATTTATATACAACAACCATAATCATTCTCAACGAGTTTTCATATTTCAAAATCGTTCCATGATGTTATCTATATTATTGAAAAAAATTATTAAACTCGAGAAAGAATTACTAAAAAAATTGCAAGCCCTAAAACTCAAGTATGAGGTAGGGTAGAGTAGAAACAAATAAAAGTGTATAGAGAATAACCAGGGTTTTACAAACCTTATTGTTCTTTGTCCAATAAATTTGGGATTTGAAATGGCTAAATATATGAAATTCAAGAAGAAGAGGGGGAATAGCTCTATTAGTGCACACGTGAAAGACGATTTTTTTTTTTTATAATTAAAAGTGAATGGTGATTTTTAATTTAAAAGGTTATTCATTTGTGATAAATGATCATTTAACATAATAACTTAAATTTTGGGATGGAATCTATTGGATGAAAGAAACTTTAATAATTGAATTTGTTTAAAGTGTGAGAAGGGTTGCAAGGCAATAAAAATAAGTGTAATACTAATTTCATTTTTTTCAAGTCAGATACGTTTAGAACTACTCTAGCCCTTATGTTCTTCCGCCAGTGGGTGGAAGTACATAACCCTTGAGTGGGTTTTGTTCCCAACCCCATGGCATCCAAATTCCAATTGGAGTGGTCAATGGGTTTTCGTCGACAGAGATTCAAAATGTTGACTCACTTCAAATTCATGCACAACTGGCAATTTTCCATATGTTAGTGCTTACATTACGGCTACAATATTCATGCGCCTGTAACCCGCGTACACTGTCGGAGAAAGAAACAATGCCAGAACTTTAGCTGGTTGCGGAAGAAGTCTATGACAAAATTGGTTCCACCATAAAATTAATTGAAGAAATATAAAGAGTAGCCTAATATCATATAATAAGCCACTAACTGGGCTTGTACCTCACCCAACAACCTGCCTTGATACCATGTAGAATTTTTCAGGTTGACGAGCCGAGGGCCCACTCCAACAATACCGATACTATCCCCATTTTACCACCTGCTCATTCCATCAGGTATGAGGTTTTATCACAAAATACATCCGTATTAGTTAGGGTAAGGTAATATTATTTAAACTCATTGAGTTTCTTTGACCCACCGATGTGGGATTCTTAACTTCTTAACAGTCTCGCAGGAATTTACGATCCTTGATTAATTACCCAAAATGTATACAATTCAATTAAGAATTTCAAGTTTTTTTTATTTCTATTTTTTTGCCGAAAAGATTTTAAAGTTAGATTGATATTTGTACAAAGTAAATTAGACATGCATGGTGGAAACTTTTTGGTCCCGTATATCGTTAGGCCAACTACCGTTTTGATATAGGTTTTCATAACTTTGTATTTTTTCGTCAAGGCTTTGGCTAGTTGTCCTCCTCGCTGTACTTTTTTTTCGTTTCTAATAAATTTTGGTAGGCTTGGGTGTTTGAGGATCGTCCACCAGTCCATACCTAGGTCAAATTACAAAAATAAATTAGCCATGGTGGATATTTTTAGGTCCTGTATATATATTTCTAGTGATCGATGTTCCAATGAATTAATGAATATACGTACATTAGTTGTTAGGGTTGTAAAGTCAGCTCAACCAAATTTAAATCTTATAACCACTTAGTACTACAATTTAATAGTATTTTTTCACTTATAAATAAGATGTCTTATTTTCGAATATTATAAATGCTGAGTTCAATATTAATTTATTCATCAAACTTTTAGTTTAAATATATCATTGTATTAAAAAAAAATATATCCTACAAAGTGCCGTGGGGTTGGGGTCAACTTAATTAACTTATAGTGGCTTAATTTCCTATCAAATCATTAACAACCTCAACCTTAAGTGTGTGGTAATGTAATGGTTTGATGAGAATCACATCATCAACCACCTCGAGTGTGGAGTTAGTTCAGCTAATTTTGTAAGTTTACAAGACTCATTGGGGTCAAGTTGTTGATCAAAATTTCTTAACAATTCATTAACAACGCGTCCTTCACCTCAAGCCTTGTAAGTAAAAGAAAAATTAATTTAGGTCAAGTTTAATAAGTATAAGATATTTGGTTTAGGTCAGAAAAATATTTTCGACATCGAGGAATCCAATAATCCTATCTTCTTGATTTTAGGTCAGAAAATATCGAAAATACCAAATATCGAACATATGGATTTATATAGTCTGTGAATATTTTCGATATTTGCAGAAGTGCTGCATTTTGTATAAGTTTTGCAGTCATTTTGGCGTTTTAATTTGATCGCTTCGTACATTGACCTAAAATTAAATTCATTAAACACTTATGGCCTATTACCATGTTGAAAAATAAGGAGGGAAAAAACCCATTTGACTAAAATGATATCAAACCCTAAAATATTCTGAAAGAAAATAAATCGTAGTAGTTGAGAAAGAATGGTTTAGCTACTTACCATTATATAATTTATTTACGTCGAAAGTTATGAGTTTCTCTGTCAGCACGAGGGACAATTATATTGCTTTTGCTTTCAACCTTCGGCAGGACTTGGGTATTTACATAAGTTGACGCATAGAATTAAGTTTAAAAATATATAAAATAAAATAAAATAAAGGGAAGAAATTATAGGGTAAAAGTTTGGAATATTTGGATCAAGTCGTTTGAATTGACCTCATGTTGTTTTGTTGCATTACTCTTCTAAGACAATTTGGGACAATAATTAACTAATAAGACCACCTTTATCATTTTTTTTGTCAGAAAGAGGTAGTTGCATATAATAGTAAGGGTGGACACTTGGAATTGTAACCCGAAATCAAAACACGAACCAATGTTCATAATTTTTATTTTATTTTATTTTATTTGCAAATAGTTTGAAATCGAAACCGAAATTGTTTGAAACCGAATCGAACTAAATATTTTAGTCCCATTTCGGTTTTAGTTTCAAAACCATACCACAAAAACTTTTGGTTTGGTTTTGGTTTCACTTAAAACCGTACCGAATTTAACCGTACCCACCCCTATATAACATGACAAAAGCTCCAAGAAACAGAATTAAATACAGACAATGATCTCCCATGCTCAAGGAGTTAATACATAAAGCTCCCAGAAAAGAGGAAATCACAGCCAAGCCTGAAAAAGACACAAAAGGATGGCGCAAAGCCATCTAGTAAAAAACTAATAACAAGAACCAACAAGGGAGGGATCCGACCCTCCTGATCCTCGGAATGATGTTTGCCTTATTTGTTATGTTGACGTTGGTTACTTATCAAACCAGCATAAGGCACATCCCCAAATGGTTATGTCTTTACCGTTAGGGATATCGCAATATCTTGGAGGTCCACGATATGACCTTAGTTGCGAAATCTTCAAATCGCTTCAAAACCCACCTCACTTCACTACGCCACACGTGAGACATGGTTAGGAGTGTTGCAATCCTATTGGATTAGGAATGTGATTGTGTAAATCCTAGTGTGTGTAAATCCTAGTGTATCTAGGGATATCTTTGAATATTCCCTTTAGTAGTTAAATTCCTATTAGAGTTGTAATCCTATTAGGGTAAGGAATTAACCTTCCCTACTACTATAAATAAAGGCACAATGAGTTGAAATAGAACACACCTCACAATTACACATCTCTCTCTTTCTCTACTATTGTCGCACCTCCTCTCTCTCTGTCCTTATTCTAGTTCAGTAAATTAGGCCTACAACAATGTATTTGTTGCTTTTATTCTTTCAGGTTTTTCATCCACTTTTGGTGTGCCTTTGGCTCTGCCGCTGTATACAAAATACAGATTGATGTGGGTTGTACATGTAGAATGTGGAATATATAAAAGTGTGGGATGTTAGGGTAGTATGAAAAGTACGAGAAGTGTATTAAAATGAATTTAATTGAAAAATAGTTTTAGAAAGTATTCAGTATATGAATTGTATTTAAAACGTGAATAAAACAACCATCGAATAATTAACTATCCAATTGACTTGCATTTTACTTTTGATTTCTATGCATTTTACTTTGCATAGGAAGCTCTTGCTTAATGTAGAACATGGATTTGGATCCCATCCAAATTCAAATGGTGGGGATCCTAGGAATCCTTACATCCTAGCCGTTCATCATATATCGTGCGGTCATAAATCATTTTAATTTTTTTATTTAAAATTACACACAAATAGTATATGACAAAAACTGACTGCACAATGTACAATGAATGACTAGGATGTGAAGATCCCTAGAATCTCCACCATTTGAATCCGGATGGGATCCTCATCCGTAGAACATAATCGTTTTTCCTTGTATAAAGCATGCCAAGGCTCTGTTTATAATCAAAAGTCAAATCAAGATAGCAACATAAAATCACATTGAATTTTTTTTTTTAATACATCATATTTTTACACTAGGAAAATGGGGAGTATGGCTAAGTCACACAATGGGCAGCCTAATTTGGTATCGAATTCGCCATTCATGGGATTTGAACCTAAGATATCTCACTTCTAAGCGAAGAAACCACCATACTGTAGTACTGAGTGACATCACGGTTGAAATAATTGAGATGCAAACAATTCACATTTACATTTACAATGAAATCGAAACACTTTAGAGGAGTGTAGTCAAACTTGGATTTGAGAGGATTTTAATAGATTTTGATACGTGATGGATTTCATAGGATTATATAGATTTCTACAAAATTCATATACATTTTGGAAGATTTGAGAAGATTCGTATAACAGATTTATATGAATTTTGAAAGATTTTGTAGCGTTAAATCTTAACAATCAAATAAATTAAATAGTGATAAATGTATCTAGGTCATAAATCTAATCAAATGAAGTTGTTCATGCTCTGGAGCTGCATCCTTTGGAGCCGAAAAAAAAAAGTCTAGATTATCACATAAACCCAACTCCTCAAAGATCCCCAGTGCACCCCTTTCCAATCCTACTTCCTCCCCCACTTTATTCTTATCCTTTTCGTTGTCACCTTATGTATTTAGGTATTGGCGAAGCCACGCGAGGGCGAGGAGTGGCGACCGCCACCCCCTTCACCGGAAAACACACCTAGAGCAAAGGTTCAGCCCTTCCCCTCGTTGGAAACTAGATTGGTTCAGCCCCTCCCTGTTCCGGTGCATTGGCTGGCTGGTGGCGCGAAAAGGATCAATTTTGATGATCTGGGGCTTCTCGAGGTAGGAATTGTGAAGAAGGTTGGATTGAATTGGCCTGTTGGATTTGATTTAGAATTAGGGTTTTGATCGAGGATTGGGGTGTTAAACTGGGGGAATTGGGGGGTTTTGGGGTTGAATTTGGTGGTGCGTTTGAAGGGTTGGGGGAGAGAACTGAATTGGCGGGCAGCGGTGATGGCGGTGGTGGTGATGTGGATTCGTGGTGGATTGGTGGTGAATGGTGGTGAGATTAATGTTTGATTCTGATCATGCAGGTAAAGGTTTTTAGATGGTTGAAATGAGGTAGGAGTTTATAGGAAACAAGACGACGCCTGCCAAAAACATATATCACACATTGATTAAGTAATTAAATGTGGAGATGCATAGTGAGTTTTCATAATTAAGAGGAATTTGTGATCTTGCAAAGGAGTTCGTGAAGACCGGGAGGTATGCAAGCTATATGTTAGTGTATAAGCTTCCTACATTAGTTTTGGTGTTACCAATTACAACCGCTTTAGTGAAAAGAGCTTTTTCTGCTATGAAGATTGTGAAAACACCATTGCGTAACAAAATGGGAGATCAATCGTTGAATGATGGCATGTTTGTTTACATTGAGAGAGATGTATTTGCTTTTTTGTTTCTATTGATAAATTATGGAAGACATTACTATATAAAAGGATTTGATTGTTGTTATTCTTTTGAACTTTGCACTCTTTTAACTTCGCCCCTCGTTCCGTCAATTTCTGACTTCGCCACTGTCTAGGAGTACTTTTAATATTTATTAATTAAACGAATTCATTCATGGTACAAAAAAAAAAAACAAGCATAAAGAAGCAGACATGCTCTCAACACATGAACCCATGCCGCACAAACAACATCAATTAGCAGGAGGGCCCAGCAGCAACGAAAAAACTGCAGACATGAAGGAAAATTGCGACCCGGCAACAAAAAATTGAAGAAAAAATCGCATAAAATGATACAACCCAACAACAAAAATTGAAGAAAAAATTGCAAAAATGAAGGAAGAAGATAAGGCAAAGAAAGTGGCTGGCAATGAGAAGAAGAGGAGTCGTTCAACTAGGTTTTTGGATTTGAAATCCTATGGTGCGAGGTAGGATTCAATTTGATCTTGGTTATATATATTTTTTCCTCTCAAATCCGACAAAATCCATAATTGAATGAAATCCTACAAAATCTTTAATTTTTGAATACATCTAGATTTGGATGAACTTTAAAACTGATTATTAAAATCTTCATTGACTACATCTAAATTTACATGGATTCTAAAAATCTATTAAAATCTATTGGTTGACTACACTAGGATTTTAAAATCTTTTAAAATCATTTCAAATCCAAGTTTGACTACACACCCCTTAGTTTAACAACTAAAGCTAGCTAGCTTTACCAATTTAATTCTTTGGTACACTGAAAGGAAAAAGGCCAAAACTCCTTGTAGAAAGTTGAGGTTTCATCATAAAATTAATTGACAATATGAAAAGTAGTTCAACTACTTCTAAAGCACATGCAAAGTTTTTTTTTTTTTTTTTTTTTCCTTCTAAATATGTCATTCACACTCTCAACTAGAGGTGGCAAATGAACTCATTCCGTTGTCAATGGGTACCCATTAAAACTTATTTAGTTTGATTTCACCTTACACCATCATCACATCTGCAATCTCACCTCTATATTACGGTGATATAAAATTAAACATGCCTTAACAGATACCCACTAACAACCCAATAGATTGATTTGCCATCGCTACTCTCAACATCCACATACATAGTCCAACCCACACATTTACCAAGTTAATCCATCATTTAATTCTATGGATGTCAAAGGCAGGGAGCCGGCCTAAAACGACCAATTCCGGCCACAGCCGCTTTGGCTTCCAAAAGTAGTAGTTGGGGCTTTTCCTAGCAGCAGTAAGTATATATGCAACTCAATTAATGTCGAGCCTTCGCTATAAGGAAGGCAAGCTTCTATGCTACCATCCACAAATTTAGTTACATCTCATTCCAGAAGCAGAAGGTATCATCATCAGCTGAGCAAAATGGCCATTGAATTCGCCAAGGTTGAAATCGTTGAAAAGCGAACACTTAAACCATCCTGCCCAACACCTCATGTCCTTGGAATCATTATTATTGGCCAACTATAAGGCAAGATGCCTTTAGATTGTGCACAAACATGCAACGAGTATCAAAGACATACACCGATGAACCATCAACATGCAGAAGAGCTCGACACCCTGCATGGGGCATAGATCTCGTTGGTCACTTAAAAGGCCAAAGGCAACAAAGAATATCTAATAGTAGCAAATAATTACTTTTCCAGGTGGATCAAAGCCGAACCCTTATCTCGAATTACCGAAACAGTGATCAAGTCCTTCGTCTAGAAGAACATTGTATGCTGGTTTGAATTCCGCACACCATAGTAACTAATAATGGTATGCAATCCACCAGCTCCAAAATCACGGACTAGTACAAAGAACTCAGGGACCACCATCTCACCCTTACTCCACGATATATTTTTTTTAAACAAACGATATTATTTACATTAAAAGGAGGGTATGAGCTAGCAATAATATGGTTCAAATTTGTTTTTGACGAAAATTGAACAAAAAATCTCTTACTTACAAGTGAAGAGGAATACCACTAAATTGTAGTATAAAGTGACATCCTCAAATTTTAAACATGAATTAAAAGTAAAAGAACCTAAATTGATAAATGAAACCTCAAAGATCTAATCATTGACTACAAAATGTTGAAAAAAAAAATCATTGACTACGAAATTAGTCTTACATCTAATTATTCTTATTTTTTTAGGAAAACTAATAAAAAAGATTTGAAAAACTTTAAATTTTAACGACAAGAACAAAATAAAGAGTAGAATGAATAGTACAAGAATTGATTTTTTAGTATAAAAATATAATTTTTCTTTAAAATAAATAATGAATTTTTCGTTAAAATTTCCTATCCTCTTTTGGTTTTTTACACTGATGAATATAGGGGTCAAATTTGGATTTAAATTATACTACGACACGATGAGGAATTTGACATGAAAGTCGCAAACACAACCAGTTTTGCCCAGATGGGTTAGAAGAAGGGAGAAAAGTCAGATTACCCATTCCTTCAAACACAATGACGTAATCAGTTTTCCATCACTTTCTCGGGAAAATCCTCGTTTCTCAATCCTGAACTTCTCACATTATGTAGAGAGTAGATAAGGAGATCGAAATATCGGAGAGAAAAGGAAAAGAAGACATGGATGCGGAGCAGACCTTCATCCGAGTACAAGAGCGGTTCTCGCAGATCCTGACGCCGAAAGTGAGAGCTGCTTTGGAGTATATCTACCTCTTCATTGCCATCACCTTGTTCTGTATTCTCGTTGTTATGCACGCCAATTACGTTCAACAGGTTTCTCTTCTCCCTACTTACTTCCTTGTACATATTTTTATGCTGTTTTAGGGTTTTTGACTTTGAAATTCAGCTGGAGAATTGCAATTTGTGCTTACATTTGTCTTAATAGTTTTGTATCTGTTAGGGTTTTGATCAATTCGAGCTTGGTTCGTGTAAATTCTTCACCAATTGCATTTCAATTTGAGTTCCGTTCGTGTAAATTCTTGATCAATTTTAGGTCTTAGCTTTGCAGATATGGATTTTACTTTGTGAGTTCATACTTCACAGTAACATGGGTGGGTGAGCTCATATTTATTGGTCCTCTTGATTGCAAGTGTCTTTATAAAGTTGAAATTGAATAGACGATCAGTTGCGGTCGAGTTTCTATTCAAATAGCCTTGATGTTATCAGTAGTGTCCTACAGATTTTGTGTTTTGGTTTTTTTTTTATCATGTTTCATATTTGAAATCAACTTCGTGTAGTGTAGATTTTGATATAAAGCCAGAGGGGCTTGAGTGTCGGGAAAACTTGTATCTTCATAAATCGCGATTCCATGAAACTAATCCCCCATACCCTTAAGTTCTGATCATTTTAGTTTTCACGGAAATGCTTAGGTAATTGGTTTAGGATCTGCTTTGTGTTTTCGTCGTTGAATTTGTAATTTTCCTCCATCGTATCTTGTGAGCCTTTGGATTAACTATGATTCTCTTGCACTTGAAGCCTGGCTGTTCAAGTGAACTTTCTGGCGTTGAAACAACACAAGCGCAAATTATTCAAATTAAGGTATGTCTTGTCTTCTATTTCTCAAACATTTGAATATTTGCGTGCTCTCAGAAAGCTTGTTGTAAATCGTATTGATGCCTTTGGTTCCATTTTGTTGCTTAATAAGAACAAATGCAAAGCTATCAGAATTTCTGAACTGAAGTGACTCTATTTTCTGAAGTCCCTTGGTTTATTTAGTTTTAAGTTTTGTGATTAGTTTTGTGATTATAGTGAAAAAAGGTTGATATAATAGTTTCAGTTCTGTGCTAGACCTATGTTCAAATTTTGTACTCAGTATTATTTATTACTTTGGATAACTTCAGATGTACTTATTTTAAATATCTTTTGAAGCTCTAATGGTCTGCTTTTCTTTCCTGGACAAGGTTGCATGTTAAGGTGGACTTGAGTTTGTTTCTTATCGTGGCCTAACTGACATCTTTGAATATCCTAACTTTTGTTGTTTTCATTTAGATAACTAGTGCAGGGCTGTGGTCGCAGAATGAGTCAGAATTCACCAATGTGGTATATGATGGCACAGACACAAAATCTGTAATGTATAAATTAGAATTTGCTAATGTAGATGGAGATGGATTGACATTTTTTGCTGCAAAATTTTGGTTGAATTGGATTGGTTCTGGTGTTAGGAGGGGTAAGTTGGCATTGAAGACTGATACTGAAGTTGTGGATCAACAGACGGATGGCTCTCCCAATAGCCCAAACACTATGGTAACACTTGATGATGCAGTTGTCAAAAATGAAATAAAGGAGAGGCATAGTAGTTTTCTTTTACGTATGAAAGAGACAGTTAAGGCAGCACTTACTTACTTTAACAAACTGTGGAAAATGCGTTCCCGTCTCTTGTCGGTCCTTCAGAAACATGGAACACATGTCATTGGAAATTTGTGGGTAAGTAGACTGAGGCATTTGAATGTTAACAACCGAATTATAGTTATCCTTGGAAGTTGGAACCATTGTTTTAAAAAACGCGCCTGAGGCATGCCTAGGTCGCTTTGGAGGCAGGGCGGGGGTGAAAATGCCTTTGCCCAGTGGGAGTAGGCCAAAACTCGTCTAGACGTGGTAGACTCGTGCCTAGGTGGCTGATGCTCGCCTTAGGGCGTTCATGGCGTTTTTATTTTATTTTTATAAAACTTCTTCTCAGTCTTCTTCGTTTGACACTTGAGTCCTCGAAGCCTCGTGTTCTTCTTCTTCTCTGTGAAACACTGAAACCCTCCATTCTCTTCGTCACGCAACACCACCAACTGAGCAGCACTGCCACCACCCAGCGAAGAGGGAAAGTGAGAGTGTAGTGAGGGAAAGAGTGTGGGCAGGGGATGTATGTGTACCATATTTAGATGAATGATTTCTTTTTTATTTTTGTATGTTTGTGAGTTAAACTTGTCCATGACTTGTGCACTTTTGAATGACAAAGTATATTTGTTGTACAAAGTATTCTATTATATATATATGTATATATATATTAATGTATATACATGTACATATATATATATATATATATATAGTAAAAACTTTAGGTCCCGTGTGGCGAACCTCAAGGCTTTCGCCTAGGTGGGGCTATCCTGAAATGCCTTGCCTACGCCTTGCCCTTTTAAAACATTGCTCGGAACTTACAAATATTCTTGACCCTGTTTTCTATTTACCAAAATCATTGGATTAAACCAGTCTGCATAAATTGATTTGTGGTTGGTTTCTATACTTTGTACCTATGTTATTACTTTCTACTGTTACTGTTATCTTATAGGGTGTTCTATGTGCTTTTTAATATGTTGATGTGAATTTCTTTGACATAGTAGGAAATTTATATATTGCCCTGTGTCTCAAATTTTCTCCATCCCCTTGTTTTTAGGTGTCCCAAAATAGGTGCCCATATTCTAAGAGCATTGCATAATTATGTAAAGTGAGATTATATTCACACACCCCAAATTACTTCTCCCACACCCTTTTAATTTTTTAATATTTTTTTATCAAGTGTTAGTGGTGTGTAGAAAATATTAAAAAATTAAAAGGGTGTGGGAGAAGTAATTTGGGGTGTGTGAATATAATCTCTCGTAAGTAAACTTCCAAATTACTATTATTGATTCAAAAGGGACCTACAAAATCAAACTAATAGAGGGTAGTTTTGGAAGATTGTGATTATCAATAATGGCAGTATGTTATGTTTCAAGGTCCATGTACCTTTGATCTCATCTAGTTCATGTTGAAGATTATCAGTACTGAAATTGCCATGTGCACGTCTCGTCTTTTAAAAAAAGAAAAAATGGCTCTATCCACCTTGTAACCCCACTTTACCTTGACATTTGAAGGATTTTGAATAAGCCTTTCTTCCCCTTCTAAATTTTCTTTGTAGTTTCAACCTACGTGCTGATTCCTTTACATTGAAATAGGTGCCGCTTGCAGTTTCTCTCTCTCTCTCTCTCTCTCTCATGCATTTGACCAATTTCATATTTGGAAACGGATTATAAGAACATGCTTTGTGTGAACATTATTTGATTTCTTGTATTTTAGTGTGAGTTCCTTTATACTGATTTTTATTTTGAAGTGCAGAACATTGCAGGGATACATTTAGATCTTGATATTCCCAAGTGGTTGCGCATACTTCATTTGGACAGGCTTAACTTGTATGCAGGTTGCTGACTATCCTTTTAACTATTCATTGCATAACATCATGTTGGATTCCATACACCCATGCTTGTTCTATTTTACTTTTTCATCCGGGAAAAGAAAAACAGTTACTTGCATAGTGCATTTAAACCGAGTGTTACAGTTTAATAATTAAAGGAGCACAAACCATTTTCCACCTTTGTTTTTTGGATCCTGTCTTGGTCTCTTTGTCAATGGTAATGAAAAAAAGAATATCTGCATAGGTTGGACGCTGATTTTTTTGACATTTTTGTACAAAGTATTTAAATCTGGAATGCTGTTTCTGTGATTTGGTTGCAAATGCTTGATTGAATACAAAACAAAGGTATAGAATGCTATTTTCAGCAAGTTGTCTGGAGACTGGATATTATGTTCATGTATGAGGATGTTGCTTTTTATGTTGAAAGTCATGCCATTGGAGGAGCTTGGTGAAAAATCATTTATAAGTGTTTTTCCTAAAGATAATTTGGGAGGCTGTTGTACCACTTGTAGTGTACTCCAAAAAGGAGGATTTTTGCTTTTTTATCTGATTGCTGCCTGCTGTGTAAAGCAATGGTTGTGCAGTTATTTTTTTTCGTTTTTTGTTTTTGCTTTTTACTAGTAAGAGAGATTTCAACTATATATACTTTTATTTTTGACACAGCTAGGTCCCCTACCTTCTTTTAGGCATCATTATCTAAGTATTATAGGGGCTTTCCTTTTCTTTTCAGTCATTGGATGTTTATTGTCCTGTTGTGTTTGGGGTTGGCTGCAGGAACCAGGGGCAGCAATTAGGAAAGAAACATGATATCTGAACCCATGTTTCTAGTTGTTGTTACTTTATAGCCATTATAAAAGTTCACCAATTAGGATTGCACTGGAACATTTTGTTCAGTGTATCAGTTTTCAACAGCCTTTCATGAACTTATGAGAACTGAATGTCATTGTTATTGACAACTTGTTTTGAATCTGTTTCAGTGCAGTGGCTTGAGATCAGAAGCAAAACTTTTGAACCGACTTATTTATACACTATGGAAAAGGTAAATTTTCAGCGGTATAGTTTATTTCCACTCGTATCTCCCGAACTTTCTGATGAGTTGGACTGCACAGGTTTTGGCTTCAGAAGCTTGTTTTGTGATAGTTTTCTAATGTCTTTGTCAATTTTGTTTGTAGGGTTATTTCTTACTACCTGAAAGTGTCAGGTCTCAGCATAATATTCGTGCTGTAAACATTAGCATATCAGCTCGGCATTCTTGTTTTGGGAACAGGTAATGATATTATCTCCACAAAATAACTACATATATTGGTTTGGGTAGCGTGCTTTTGATTTTGGTAGAGAATTTTTTTGTCTAGAACCCATACATTAAATCAAGGTTAACTTAACCCAAGTGCTTGTAGCGTGAAAAATGTAGCATCAGTTCTTTGCATTGGCTTTGTTGTATTTCTTAAATCAAACATCTTACAGCTTACCTGTCATATGCAGGAGTGTTTTTTTGTTTTTAATCAGTAATATTCTGATTTATTTATTTGCAATTTTTATTGTTGTTTTTGTTAATATATTTCTATGTTGTATGCATAGATAATAGCCATACTTTTCTTTAGGCTTGAATAGGTTGTTACTGAAATAACAATTTTTTTTTGAAAATTATTTCTCAGTAAGATGTGACACTTAGGAGATCTTATTAACTTAGCCTGGTTGGGATTGAATATAGCTCAATAATTCAGGAATCTGGTGAATATATTGCTGATATGTGCAAATATTTTGCAATTGGTCAACAATGGATATTTATGGTGCACCTTTTACAATCATTTTCCTTTCTCATAATAACATTATACATGTAAGATATATCGTGGTTATATGGATTTGTAAATTTGAGTTGTTAATAAGCATATGGGAGTTGTAAACTAGTATGTGTTTTGATTGTTGTGGTTTATTTACGTTAAATCACCAGGTGGCAGCAGCTACTCGTTAACAGATTTGTTGGATATGATACTATTTTAATAAATAGTTTATTGAGTTCACCTGGACAAGGTAAATTAGCCGTTAATTTCCTTTTTACTTTCAATATCTTGTATTCTTAAATAAGTTAAGAATTTGGAAGAGAGCATTAATTAAATTAAAGGCAAAAATGCCACTTGAGAGTGAGTTTCACGACTTGTGCCTAAGCTTGTTATGATACACATTGCAGGATATCTTTATAATTTTCAGACAAAGGAGTTTTTTAATCTTAGTTATGCACAAGAACCGCCACAAGGCCCTGCAAGGTTTGGAGGTTTGTTGGATTGTGCCTTCTATTTCCATTCTTGTGCAATGTTGTTTCATCTTGTAAACATGACTCTTCAGTCTTCACATATAATTAAAAGATGGCATGGCTTTTCTTTTACATCAGCCATTTCTTGTGAAATTTGCAATTCTGGGAAGCACTTATTGTTGAGGCATATAAAATCAAATTCATGTTTTGTTGAAAAATAGTGCATCTACTTCTCAAATACACAAAGAACAAAGAATACATAATGTCCTACAGAAACCTTTTTGTTTTTCTGTAAAGCACCTGTGACAGCACGAGAATACTTGTTTTTTCTTTTATCGATCGGGCTGCGGCCGGGGGGGGGGGGGATTAAACTTTTAATCTCTGTCAATTTTGGGAAGACAAGTATCACTACATTAAGAACTAAGTTGGTACAACATTACTTGACTGTATTAATGTATTTCCGAGTCTCTGATATATTGGGAAATTTCAATCTGTAATGTATTTGGAGGAATAATGTTTGTGGGATGGGGGTTAGTTTGGGAGCCATAGGAGAGTTACATGGGTTTGAACTTATGGAAAGTGATTGCAAGACAGCAGAGAATTTTCACTAGGTGGCAATTGCGATGTAGGGTTTTGGATGGTTTGGTTGAAGTAGCTGTACAACAGTTGCATTAGTTTATTCTATTTATTTATTTTCGTAATATTGATTATGGGTCTTGATTCATAAATCTTGAATTTTGCTTTCCGAAAAGACATTTTATAAAAGGCGGACATGTGGAATGTATGTAATGATGTTTAAAACTGTGGTACTTTCGGTTTTACAATAAAGGTTAATTTGGTTATTTGAAAAGACTGTAAAAGTAAGGATGTTATAACACACTTTATGGAATTAAATTTGGCCAAACAATCAACTGAGGACACTCGTAAGAAAAATATGCTACATATCAGGGACCTTAGGCTAACTAAAAATATCAAGTATTTATGAAAAAAAATAAGTCTTAAAAACTTATTTTACTCTTTTCCAATAATATATGCATTATGTTAAGAAAAGTTCTGGCTTGATTTGGTTTCTTTGCAGACTACCTGGTGACAAAATGTGGTGTGCTTATGATGTCTCTTTTTGTGTTCTTTACAACCACCATGTCTGTGTCTTTCACATTGAGAGAGACACAGACTCGCATGCTGAAGTTCACAGGTTTGTGTTAATTTGTGTATTCTGGATAAAGCAAAATGCTGATGCTAGCTCCATTCACAATACTTGCCTCCATTAATGTTTTCTTCTGTCCCCTCCTTGAGACAATGAAATAATGTATGTGATGAAGCTCTTAATTGTATTTTGACGTTAAACCCAGAAATAGCATTTATTCACATGTTATTATCAAATTTAAGGTTTTGTTCATCGAAAACATCATCCATTTTGTTTCCCTGCTTTGATGAGTATCATTTTGTTTCCCAGTGCGTCATACATCCTCCTTATCCTGCCTCTATATTTTGGTGCTTACTTTTGTCAAATTATTGCAGTGCAGCTTCAACACCACGCTCGTCATCAGCTTCCAACTTTCCAGTTAATTTTTGTGCATGTAATTGAATCACTTGTCTTTGTGCCGGTAAGTGTACATCTTTTTTGTTCACCATCAACACAATATGTACCCAGTTGATGAGTTTTTTGGATTTTATTTATTCATTTACTTATTTTTACTTGCTAATGTATTTTCATGTGAAACTATTATTGGTTTTGCAGATAATGATCGGTATATTATTTTTTCTGTTCGAGTTTTATGACGATCAACTGTTGGCTTTTATGGTCCTCATACTTGTCTGGTTGAGTGAACTTTTCACGCTGATCAGGTTTCGCTCTCTCCCTTTTAAATAGTGGCATGAAAATTATTGGGTGCCCATGCCTGTACACATAATGAGTACGTTTCATTTCAAAAGTCATTCACTCTGAGACTCTCATTCCTTTCCACAGGTCATGTGATGGGGAGTCGTGCTGTCATTAATCAATGCATGAGTTCATATTTTCATTAGACCTTATGTTAGTCGTAAGATATATCAAATATGGGGTCTAGACAATGTGATGATTGCTCAACTTGTTGCTCTTTCGACTCTGGTGTGTGGGCCTATTTTAGGTTGGTAGTTCTAGGCTTAATATGGATAAAATATTACCTGAAAGTTAGTGCTAAACAATTTTGAGGCAGGGTTAGGTTGTAATTGGCACTCTTTTGATCTCTGTAGTAGATTTCCTAGATCAAGGGCTTTGATGTTGTGAGTCAGCTGATTAAATTGGCTTAAGATATGATGTTAGAAAAGGATTATATAATGGCACCTCTTCGAGGCTAATTTTCCCTCCTGTGTGCACACCCTACTTTCGCCAAATTTCTAATTTGTGCCATGCTCTTTTCATTTGATTGCCCTTCTTGCAGTGTCCGGACGCCCATTTCTATGAAGTTCTTTCCCCGCTTCTTTTTGATCTACTTTCTGGTTTTCCACATCTATTTCTTTTCCTATGCTTATGGTACGTATTACTTCTTATTTTACTAGTAGATGGAAACTATTTTTCATTTTCTAGATAAAATTCTGCTTTCAAACTGTTTGCAGGTTTTTCTTATTTGGCTCTTTCTACGGCTGCCGCTTTTATGCTGCATCTCATTCTATACTTCTGGAACCGTTTTGAGGTAATCCTTATTGTGTAGAATTTTCCCTTTTTGGGCCTGGCTTATTGTATAGATGAAAATATTTTTTGAATGACAATGGTAGCCTCAGTTGGCTTTGCAAGTGTAGTCTCAGTTGGTTCCCTTTGCTTGCACGGCTTGTTTGAGCAGATGAATAATGAAGTTCCTAGATTCAGATGGTAGATGTGCACGCGTATGTGTGCTACATTTCACGGGTGTTAAAATATTTGTGTTTAAATTCTTGTTATTCGTTGGAAAAGAAACCGGAAGAACTTTTACCAGAATAAATCATTTACAGAAGATTTGAGTGTGGTCTATATTGTTGAGATCTGTAATAGCCTTAATTAGTCGAAGTTTAATCTGTTATTATGTCGGTGCACTGCTTGCAGGTACCAACTCTACAGAGGTTTATCCAAAATCGGCGATTTCAGCTCCAGCAAAACCCAGATTTCCACATTACCTCCTCAACGTTCCTTGCCTCAACTGTACAGATCACAAGATTGAACACAAGAAATCCCGGCCTTGTTAATTCTGACTTGGCACCTGGACCTGGGCTGAGATCTGGATCCAATCCAGTGGTGCCATCAAATGCAGCAGAAGTTCCCGGGCTTCAAGAACAGTCAGGTAATGACAACCTAGACAGGGTAGGAAACCCTCAGGTTCCGGGCCAAGCTGACCTGAATCAAGCAGAGAATGGTCCCAACCCCGGCGGTATGAATTCATTCAGTTCGCTTTTGTTATGGATCTTGGGAGGGGCGTCCTCTGAAGGCGGCCTCAATTCCCTTATTTCTATGTTCAGAGATGTGAGAGAGCAGGGACAAGTTTATGCGGAAGCGGAACCCCCTAGGCAAGAAAATCAAGATGTACATAGATAGGACCGGAACATTGCATGTGTGGAGGAAGGCGATCTCAGTTTGCCTTCCTTTTGTTGTTGTAGATCTTCATGGTGAAGTAGGATAGCAAAGGTTATGCTGGATTGTATAAATGATATACGTGACGTCCTTTTGGTTAATCTAAGGAATACAATCGAAAGCAAGAATCGGATTTGGAGATGTTCGATTTTTCTGAACCGTGTCTCCGTCAGCAAAGTGATTTTTCTTAATCTTTTCAAGCTGCAGACCGAGGGCGAGCCTTCGAAAATGTTGCTCTTTTTTGATGGAAAAGTCACAGGTTTAAGTCGTGGACGCATTCTTTTTGCAAAACAAGGGTACGGATGTGTACAATAGATGTTTCTCTTTACCCTTGCAATGCGAGGGGCTTTGTTGGTTTGGGTTCGCTTTTTTCAAGCTGCAGACGCATGTTGAATCAATTCCTAATTACTAGTGTTCTACTAATCAAGATATTATGAGAAAAACCATAATATTTTTCAATGGTGTCTAGGGTTTAGGGTTTAGAAATTTTTTTGGATGGTTCAAGATCATCATTAACACCAATATCTTGATTAGTAGAACACCACCAATAAATCATAATAGGGGAGTGCTAGCAACCTTCTTATTTCAACTTTCTCACTTCTACTCATCTAATGTGATTCCACTAGAACCCATAAGAGAGTCTGGGAGTCTCCATAGCAATCCTCGTTAGCTAATTACACGCACTAAACTTGTAGCTTCGAAAATGCAAACTCAAAACAAAGAAATACTAGCAACCTTTGCATTTGGACCTTTTCACTTTAATAAATGACACATACCATCTTTTACATACAAAAAAAGACATCTCTGAACATAGAAATATTGATATGAGTTTAAATTAAGAGCACTCAAGTATTAACTAGTTAGTAACTTAATATAGAGTTAACCACGCATTTGACTCGTAACTACAATATTTTTCCATAATCTAACCCACTCACTTTGTAGATCTTCATTCAAAGATAATTCTTACAAAAATCCACCCAAATCGAAAATCATTTAGCCATTTGATTATTGTCATGATCATTTCTTTGTTTTCCAACGACATTGTTCTTGTCTATTTTTTCTATCACATTTAGCTACTGAAATGACTTCCAATTGGGATGAATTTTTCTAAGGATAATTTTTTGAATAAAGATTTATAAAATGAATGGTTTAAATTATGAAAAAAAATGTTGTAGATTCCACCCAAACGCATAATAAGCATCGTATTAAGTTACTAACGAGTTATCGCTTGAGCGTTCTTAGAATTTAAATGTATAAAATGGTTTCAAATACGTTACACGGGTCAAATGAGTTATCTGTTTGTCACTATTATAGTATCACAAGGTCTACTAATATCTCTTATTTGTGAATAAAAAATGTTGGTTTCAACTCTCATAAATTACGAGTTGAATATAAATTACGGCTTAAGCTTGTTGGTTTGTATTAGGTTGGAGATTTTCTGAGCCATTAAATTCCAATCCACGACCCAAACCCGACACAATACAACCCATTTCCAATTTCCCAAACCCGACACGATACAACCCATTTCCAATTTACCAACCCCGTGTCACTTGCTCCCTCACTCACACCGTCTTGTACCGCCCTTTCTTCCTTTCGTTGCCGCCGTCAGAGGTTGTCCCTCTCAGCCTCTCTCCAGCGGCTCTTCCTCCTTCAAATTCTACTCACCGCAAAAAAGACAAGGGCACTCGGTCTTGGCATACAAGGACAAGAGGGCTTGCTTTTGCTGAAAATATTCACACAGAGTCGAAAGGATATTTTCAGGTATTTTTGTTGGTTCTATCTTTCAGTAATACATTGCGTATACATATAGTTTGATGGGTTTTAATTAATTTGCTGAATGAATGAATGAAATGATTGATTGGGCATGAAAATTTGTATGAAATGATTGGTGGGTTTTGGAATTGTTGATGGGATAAGTCATGGGTTTAGGGTTTATATGTTGTCCTGTATTTTGATTTAAAAAAAAAAAAAAAAAAAAAAAAAAGAAGCTCAAGGGAAAATTTTATAGGACGGCAATAAGGTCGGCGATGCTGTATGACACAGAATGTTGGGCGGTGAAGCATCAACACGTACACAAAATGGGTGTAGCGGAGATGAGGATGCTTCGTTGGATGTGTGGGCACACGAGAAAGGATAAGATTAGGAATGAGAATATCCGGGGTAAAGTAGGAGTAGCCGAAATTGAAGGAAAGATGAGAGAAAATCGGTTACGGTGGTTTGGACATGTGCAAAGAAGGCCTACTGACGCTCCGATTAGAAGATGCGACTATGGGACAGAGGTTCAGGGCCGAAGGGGTAGAGGAAGACCTAGGAAAACTTTGGAAGAGACCCTAAAAAAAGACTTAGAGTACTTGGATCTAACGGAGGACATGACACAGGACAGAACACAATGGCGTTCTAAGATTCATATAGTCGATCCCACTCAGTGACTTGGATTTTCCAAGTCTCCAACCGATAAGTTTTCCTCACTCGGGAAATTAAGGGAACACTACCTCAACCTACATGCTCCACTCACAAAGCTTCAACATACAAGCTTCAACAAAGAAAATTCAAAGAACTTAGCGAAGAAGGCTTTGGTGTATTTAACACAATACGTTGAAATGAAGGAAAGCTTATTTATTGATATCCCCAATAAGTTACAAATATGTACATATACTTGAGTCAAAATAAACAAACAAGAGGGAGCCTTCACAAAGGTTGCTTAGGAGAAGTCTCAGCAGTCGGTAGAGCCCCAGAAAGAGAAGGCACCGGAGGGGGATCATTTCGGAGCCTCAGTACTGGACAGAACCCTAGAAGAGGAGGAGGCATCAGATATTGATCATTTGGAGCTTCATTACGCGTACAGCCCAAAAGACGAAGGCAATAAATGCCCTTGGAACAAAACCCACAAATCTCTGATGATCAAGTAAAACCTGACCATCAGATTCCTTCATCTGGTCAAGCTTCCTCTTCATGTTTGTAGCATAGTCATGTGCGAGCCGGTGCAACTGTTTATATTCTCATGCTTGAGCCCTCTAATCTCCTGTTTGAGACTCATCACTTCAGCCGCCAATTTATTCAACTTGGCGGGTTCGAGCAAATAGGCGTTTGGGCCATATTAGACACAGAACCTGCACACTGAACACTAAGAGCCAGAGAATCCTTAACAGCCAACTCATCAGACCGTTTGGAAAGTAGTCTGTTATCTTTGGGAGTGAGAAGGTTCCTGGCCACTACCGCAGCGGTCATATCATTCTTCATCACGGAATCCCCCAACGGTAAGAGGACCAGTAGGGGAGACGAAGGATGGGCGCTATATGTTGTCTGGAGAAGGCGGGGCTGTCTCTTCAACAAGGTTCAAGTCAAAACGACGGTCTGAGGGGCCAGACATTTTCAAAGGTGTTGAAGAGAGAAAAGGTCGGACAAATCAAGATCTTAGAAGTGCAAGAATGGAGCTTCTACTGGTGGATATTCAAGTGTGCTTTGGAACTTAATGTCAGCCTCTATAAAAATCTGCGCTCGACGAAGCTTCAGAAATCGAAGAGGCGCCTGCTCAGAAATCGAAGAGGCGTTTGCTTTCTCAAAAGCTGGGCTGCTTAGAGACCACGAGTGTCGATCTCAGAAATCGAAGAGGCGTTTGCTTTCTCAAAAGCTGGGCTGCTCAAAGACCACGAAGGTCGATCTCAGAAATCGAAGAGGCTTGCTTTCTCAAAAGCTGGGCTGCTCAGAGACCACGAGGGCCGATCTCAGAAATCGAAGAGGCACCTACTTTTCCAGCTTGTTGTCAGCACCTGTCACACGCACACTCAGCTTTGCGGAAATTATGGGCATTCTGTCGAAGATTTCTGGCGAAGTAGAAAGCACATGAATCGTACTGTTCAATCACCCACTTCCCACACGCAACAGTAGCTCATGGGTACCACATATAACTTTGCCAAAGTTCTCTGACAAAGTTGAGACACGTGAAGCTTGCAGCTCCCACTACATCGCTCTCTGACCAAGAAGGGTAAAAGAATAGCAAAGAAACAACACTAACAAAGTTTAGACACATAAATTTTTTGAAGGTCTAGCTACCATATTATTACCCACAAGGGTAAAGGAACAGTACCACTGCTGGATAATTGGAAAGTCCCGCTGTGTCAACCTCTGTGCTTCGTGGCAAGGTAGACTAGCAAACATGCCCAACCTTTACTCACATTCGAGAAAACACTCCCAACAAGATTGCTTGCTCCAAAATCGAAGAGGCACCGCCCTCCGAATCTCGAGAGCCAAACTCCCAACACGATTACTTTCTCAAAAATTGAAGAGAGGGTAAAGGAACAGTACCACTGCTGGATAATTGGAAAGTCCCTGTGTGTCAACCTCTGTGCTTCGTGGCAAGGTAGACTAGCAAACATGCCCAACCTTTACTCACATTCGAGAAAACACTCCCAACAAGATTGCTTGCTCCAAAATCGAAGAGGCATCGCCCTCCGAATCTCGAGAGCCAGACTCCTAACATGATTACTTTCTCAAAAATCGAAGAGAGAGGGTAAAGGAACAGTACCACTGCTGGATAATTGGAAAGTCCCTGTGTGTCAACCTCTGTGCTTCGTGGCAAGGTAGACTAACAAACATGCCCAACCTTTACTCACATTCGAGAAAACACTCCCAACAAGATTGCTTGCTCCAATATCGAAGAGGCACCGCCCTCCGAATCTCGAGAGCCAGACTCCCAACATGATTACTTTCTCAAAAATCGAAGACATCGCTCTCCGAATCTCGAGAGCCAGACCTCCAGCAGGATTGCTTTCTCAAAAATCGAAGAGGCATCGTTCTTCGAATCTCGAGAGCCGGATCCCCGACAGGATTGCTTGTTCGAAAACCGAAGAGGCACCACTTTCCCAACTTCAAGAGCTGGATCTCCTTGGATAAAGCTTGTCTGTAATCTTCACACGCAACATCAGCTTTCCAGATACCACAGACCACTTTTTCAAAGTGCTCTGACAGAGTTAAAACTTGTGAAGCTGGCAGCTCCCACTACCGTGCTATGACCAAGCAGGGTAAAGGAATAGCATTATTACTTGATGTTAGGGAGACTCCTATATATGTCGACCTCCATCCCCAACGGACAGGCAGACCTGCAAAAATGCTCAACCCTTCCTCTTATCTGAGAGGGCACTCCCAACGAAGCCTTTCG